TTTGATACTCCCCCATAGGTAAGCAGGTAGCCGGATTTTAAAGCTGATGATCTTTGCAGAGCTGTACGGTATTCTCCCTCTACTGAGTAACAGCAGAGCATGGTGCTCGCGCGCGAGCACCATGGGTAAGAAAATGTGGTCATCTATGAATTGGTTCTGACAAAATGGTCCGTAAGTACGTCCCCCCCTTCGTGTAAGCCTGGGTGAAATTTTGATTTCAAGCACCGTACCCGCGCGTTTCGGCAGTAAATTGCATGGCCACCCGACTTTAAAAGAGAAAAAAAGCAACAAAGCCGAGTCTGTCTTTCGACTAAATTTTAATGTCTACATTGAAGTGGTTAACAGAAAAAGAGCTAGAGCGAGAGAAAAAAAACAAAGGAGACCAATTTCGTAGGAAAAAGAACGTGAACCTGACGGTGTGAAAATGAAAAATGCTAGCGGCCACCAAGGTGAAAATAAGCGGCAGTGAAGAAAAAAATAAAAAGGAACACATACGACATTTCCTCCATAAAACGTGTAACCAGGAAGTTTCAGGAAATTTCACGTTTAAGTCGTGCATAAAAAGGCCAAAAATGAACCAAAAAGTGTGCTGCACGTGCAAAATTGTTTTTTTTTCTTGCTAATTAGACCTTCTAGTTTTTGATTTGGCCGTTTTCGTTGCCGTCGCCGCTAAGCATTACACGATTATAAATTTTGTTTGAGTGAACTATAAATACTAACGAGAGCGTCGCTGTTAGCCCTGGCTAAATCTACGTATTATGATAGATTTAAAGGCAGATCCAACAAGGCGGCAATCTGGTGTCGAGCAGACTACCAAAATTTAACAAAAAATTTAGAGGTCACAGTTTCCAGAAACCTGACATGACTTTCCATGACTTGAGTTTGGCATTATTGCTGCCGCCACTTCGTCGGTCTTTTTAACAAAATCATAATTATGCTAGCACAACATGACAGACAAAGGCTACACATGTGTGAAAAGGGAGACACACATGGAAGAAGAGAAACATAGTGGGTTTAATTTTCTTGCCTATGGAACCATAACAATTAACGCGACGTCAAGGCTTGAACTCGTAACAAAAGACCCGAGGATTGAAATGTTCGTCTCTCAGCCATCTCCCCTCAAAACATTAGTAGTAAAACTAAACGATACCCTTCTCTTGAAGTACTAACTTATTTTATTATAATTAAAAAAGCTATAATTGTTGCGGTACTGAAAAAAGGGCCTACGTACAGAAATGGCAAAAAGTAAAAACAATTATAAGAAAGGTTCTGTTGAAACCAACTGAATTGATACCCTCGCTTATAGTTTACAGGCCCCTTTTTCGCTGTAACGTCGTGGCATGCAAAAGAAACTGGCAACTGGCATGGTCCAACGTTGACAATAAATTGAAGAATATATACACTTGTATTTAAAGAATTTATACACTGGTATCCGAAACAGTGTTCAGCTCCAGTTTATCGTTTCTCTTGTCGTTAAAATATGCGTTATTGACCAAGCGTGAGGTCAAGATGGCTAGATTTTGGCCAGGTTCTTTAATATTATGACCCGAAACGACGTAGAGATCCGTTAAAAACACACAAAGAAACGAGGCCAATATCTAGAACAAGCTTGGTCAGGAACGGATACAATATTTCCAGCGGGCAAGAATGGACCCATCATGCGAGATCGAGTAGCCTATCAGATCACAGTATTTGCTTCATCTTGCCCATTCGCAGATTCGGCCAATTGATAAACGTTGTTATTGCTCGTCACTTTCGGAGCCCTGAGAAAAAATCGCGCAAGTTACTCTAAAGGGTGGGTTTATTAACAGCATAGATGTATGCATTTGCTGCTAATAAAAGACCAGACGGAAACCAAAGAAAAGCGTATGAATAGTCTCAACTGGGAAATTCCGTTTTCACTTATGTTCTATTTTAGATGCATTAACTTTATCTATCTGACATAATGGAGGCGAAATAGAGCTGCCTAAAACTTTTTTAACCAACTAAAGGAAAAATTTCAACCTGTTCATGTATGCAATTAAAGTCACTCCTGCTTAGTTTTACAGCGTTACACTTTAGACGAATCTTAACTACCGGTTATATTCCGTTCAAGTTCAAATACCTATTAAATATATCTTTCAATTGAAAATAAAAACGCGTGGAGTAATAGTGTCGACTAACCACCCTGCAACCTACTGAATTATTGCGCCTTTTCATCAACTTACTTTCACACAAGAGCGCAACTTAACTCTTACTTCTATTTTATCTTTGGCTCACAGAAGGCACTCACTGTAGATTTTCGTTACAAAGAGAAGAAATAAGAGGTGCTAAGCGATAACAAAAGGTCACTGTTAACTAATTGTGAACTACACATGCATGTTTAACAGGGCGTGTCATGATTTCCATCTTCCACCTGTGAACCCGCTACGACGATCTCTTACCCTTTGGCGCAATAGACAAAGCACTAAGTGTCAATAATAAATAACCTTGAAACTATAGTCGATTGCAAGAAAGTAATGAATTCACTGAAAGTTTAAATTTGGAGAAGAAAGGTCTTGTGAAATGTTTAGTGGATAGAAAGACTGAAGCAGACGACAACAATATTCACCTTTACTGGTAGGTAACACTACTATTGATGGGATTTGTGTTCATTTTTATTCGCAAATGCCACATTAATGTGACGCCATGATCTTCCCGCACACCACCTCTCGCGCTTATATATCTCTTTTATTAAGACACATGACTACCAATCGAAAGCATTTCCGCGGTGTGGTTCTTCTCGAATTGACCATTACTTGAAATTGTAACTAATACTTTTTTATAATCTAGTTTGAACCTTCAGGTCGTCATTATTAATAGACAAGAAAAGAGAGCAAGAGCTAAAAGCTAGACGCTATGCTTGGTTTTCTTGGTTTTCAAGTTTTAATTTCATTGGGTACGTCAATCTTTAATTTATGTTGTTATTCCTAAGACCTACGTAGATTTAGTTTCTATAGTACTGCTTTAAATCTTTTTGTCGCATGTACACATTTCCACTTTGTTAATAATGTCAGGCAACAAGTTCTTCTTCAGGGCCACTCAAGTTTATTTGATTTGATTTTGACTAGTTTTATTATTTAAGTGTTATTGGTATCGATTAGTTTCTTTGTATCTTTTGCAGTGGATTTTATTATCCCCTACAGCTCATAGATTTGTGGTCCTATTGGTCGGGATTAATGTTTAGATACGTCTTCTCATGAGGTCATACACGTACATTTCCCTGTTAAGGCCGTAGGTCGTTGTCATGTAACAATTTCATTTTACCTTTACATTATTGCTTTCATCGAGCGATTGCGCTTTTCTTTGTGCAAGTGTATCTGTTCATTAAAACAATACATCATACCCACAGTATTCGTGAACAAATCCGTTGTGCACATGGTGTCGTGGGTCTCGCTCACGCTTAGCAGGCCTTTTATCATTAGACTTTCCTGAAACGTTCATTATTTGATTTTGAACACAGCTTTGTCATTGGACATCTTTGAGAATAACTGTTTACAGGCAACCAATCAACTGAGAAGACGACACGGCGTTCCAGACTTAACTTGGTCCAACACCCTCGCGGCTGATGCACAAGCCTGGGCAAATAGGCTAGCAAACAGCAACGTATTTCACCACGACTATATCAGCATGCAAGCCAAGAATCAAGGAGAAAACTTGGCCTACTTTAAACCTTTCAAGAGGAAATGTCAGGGTCCAAAAAGGGACGATTGCGTCCAGTGCGCAGAAATTGTTGATGATTGGTATGATGAGGTCAAGAATTACGATTTTGACTTGGGTAAAGCCAAGACACCCAGTGGAGTAGTGATGCACTTTACACAGGTACCAGTTTGCATGGACAACTCCAGCAATTTTAATAGTTTTCACTATTTTTATTAGGCTATGTTCATTCAATAGAGGATACCTTATCGCGCGGACACGAAAGAAACCTATCCGAAATGTGGCGCCCATGTAAGGGATTCCGCATTCTGGAATACGGAACAATTTTGCTCGTGGAATCCAGAATCTGGATAATTTTAGTTGTGCTACCCAAATTCCTGGGCTGTTGAATAAGGAATACGGTTCAACGAGTCCAGATCCTACTGACAACTAGAATCCGGAGTTCAACTGACAAAGAATCCGATACCCAGTACAAAGAATCCGGAATCCACAGCATGGAATACAGAATCTTAGACTTTCTTGGATTCCCTTATATGGAGAGATATGTGGCTCTCCACTTCAGAGATCGGAGCAAAGCAGTTGCTCTCCGTTACAGACATAGAGCAACATCACCGTTTTTATATGTGAACAAAAGCCTTACCCGGTATGATTCACGTGCCGGCGTAAAAGCTATCCAGTATATTGTGAATATAGCCTTAATGTCTTAGGTGATGACCTCTGAACACGGTGCACAGTCATGTTTAACAAGGGAGCTTTGTACTTAGATATGAGCAGAGCCAGTGCTGCAATAAACAATAGCTGTTGTTATCAACAGTTGATACAGTTGTAATTATGCAACAATATAAAAGAATCTGCTAACGTTCCTTCCAAATTATTCACTTTCTGTTTGAGGTGATGTTTTCATCTTCATTCTTCATATGAACCCACAGCTTCATAGCAGCGAAAACAGGAAAGGATATTTGCCATCAAGCGCCTATTTGGGCGCGTTAACTTTTAATCAAAGGATTTTCCTATGCCAGCATCTGTAAATGAATTCTATGTCGAATGTGTAGACTGTTGTCACCAAGTTCGATTTCTTTCCTCCGATAAAAAATTCGACCGTATAAAATCTACACCGTGAATTTTCGTCATATAAAAGGGAATTATGATAGAACTTGAGCTCAAATGGCAAGAACCATTGAGAACCAAAATAGTTTTTTTACTTAGCCTGACCTATTCCTGTTTCTCAACAATTCAAAAATTTCGCTGCTCCTGTAATTTATATTCTCCGTCCACTACCACCAACATCGTCACTACATTTCTATTGTTTTCCCAGTCCACCCCCATCACTGCCACAACCACATTTCTATTGTTTTTCTTCCACCACCACCATCACACCACATCTGTATTGTTTTCCCCCCACCATGATCACCGCCACAACCGCACCACATTTCACAACCACACCTTCCACCACCACCACTACCACCACCAGATTTTTATTGTTTTCGCTCTACTACGAACACATCCTTTCATCCGCATTTTATTCATGAGATTAAGACAACACGCTAAGGCGCCATTGGCGTTAATGTATTCCTGCGCTAGTTTATGACTTTCCTGCGCCAAAAACGGATGATTTCATCCCTGCTATACTACTTAGAAACGAACATTTTTTTTATTTAAAACTTTGATTACGTCTCATACAAAACGCCATTATTTTTTATGCAGGAAGTCTGGAGAAAATCGCATCATTTCGGAATTGGCACTGCCAAAAGCAAGAAGTACGGCTTTATTTTAGTGGCACGCTACAGTCCTCGGGGTAATGGAGGAGGGCCTATGGTTTTCAAAGACAATGTCTTCCCACCAGGTGCGTTGTCGTCTTATGCATTTTTGCTTTGAAAACTCCTCAAAAATGCAATTGAAAAAATAAATAATTAAGGCTAGTTTGTCTTCTACAGTATAATTACGCTTTTAAATAGTCTTGGCCCCTATTAATTGCAAAAAATCTTGCATGAGAGATTCATTCCAAATGGTACAAATAGACGCTAGAAGCACAGACGTCTTTAGGACTGAATAACAATTCCAATTGTATTTATTTATAGATTATCTACTTTCCATTCGTTTGAAAAAAACACCGAGCAATTTTTCTCTTTTTTGACAGGGACTATTTCGGACCCCACGCCATCAACAAGCCCAAGCGCAACCACTCCAGCGCCCACGTCGATCACACAAAATATTAAAATTAACATATCAATTAACACAAGCACAATGCCTACATCAGCTCCAAGTAAGCAAGGTGAAAAACTGCATGCAAACTTTTACGATTTTATATATTACAGAAGAACCAAAAGCTCTGCAACAATGATTTTCAAATGTTTTTTTTTGGACAGAAAGCAGTATCATGCAATCGAGGAAAAGGCTTACCTCTTATTCCCGGCCATTTGATTTAGTGACGCACTCGCTTAACATTTCGTATCCTACAATAAAACGAAGACTTGTCCTTATATTTGAAATTAGACTTCAAGTCTATGTTAAACGTAAATGTCGCATATGTTACGTGATTCTAAGCAAAATATCTGTAAAATACATTCTGACATTACGAGTCTTCATAGCCAATAACATCACGGCTTAACTGACAGACGACCGATAACATCGAGACTTAATTTACCAATCAGGTCAATAACCAGAGTTTAACAACATCAACCGACGTGATACAACTCACTGTGACTCTGAAGATGTCTAACGCACAAGTTGTCGAAACGTCAGTCATGTCAACAACAACAGTCCTATTCAGGACTACGTTCACCTGGACGATCATACTCAATCGACTCATGGGCATAAAAGTGTATCTCAACTCGTTCTACGACAACTTATGAACTTTCAATCGATGACTTCTTGATGAACTTTCAAATTGAATGCTCATATCTGACTTATCTTTTATTCTGCAGGCGGAGGAAAGCCCACCACGCCGAGTGTCACTAGCACCTCCCCTCCACAAGTGACACTTCCTGCTGGTAGGTGATGAGTGAAACTATTGATTATCTTTTTAATTGTTTGTGTCTAAACGTAAACGTTGACTTAAGTTGGACCTTTAATGTCCAACGCCTGAACCTTCACACAATGGCTTTATTCTACTTGCACGTAAAGGTTACGTGACAGTGGAAATCCACACTAAAGGGCTGCAATAAAATCATCCATAGGAAGTGCGATGATTTTTAGTGTTTGTCCGTCATTTGACACTGTACTTGTCTTCGTATCATGTGATATTTGTGTCGATTCTGCGCATTACAAAGTAAGTAAAAAGGTACCATTCTCCTTTCTTACTTACTGCAAGGGGCTTATCTATCATTTCTTGTATCCAGACCTGCACCACTTCCTCTTGATCGCAAAAAAGGATGTCGTTCCTCCACGTATTAGGTACAGAAGGAAGGCGTTGTTATGAATTATTAGGTTCTTGTCAACCACTGTTATTTATATTTTCTTTTAATTCTTTTTTCGTTTGTTTATGTACGCGGAAGTTATCGTTTTGACGAATGACTAGCGCCGCAACGTCAGTTTCTCAATCTACCTACGGAGGCCAATCTATAATTTAAATCATATCACCTTCGTTTATAAAGCTAAATTTTTGAACCTGATCCCACAACCACCGCCGTAACGTGTCAGTTTCTTTGGAAAAGTAAACCTCTTCGTTTATCTTTTGTTTTCGAACCACCTCACTTTATTTCCAACGCCTTATTGAGCAGAGAATATTAAAGTGAATTTACTCTTTAGAAAAAGGCATCGATTCGAAGGTCACAAGTCAGTCTGCAACTGGGGCCAATGACACTCGGGTCAGTGAGTGGCGGGAAAATAAAGGAACACGACTCCGTTGTTCTAAAATTTTCTTCGGATGGGGTCTTCTGAGGGCCTAAACTCAAACGTTTTCAACAGGAAAGTCAAGTCCTATGTTAACGGCTTTACCGAGAAAAATGTATTTTTGGAAAGAACGTTGGAGAAAAGGATCGAGCTTATAAAGAAACAAACGCAATTAACGTCTTTGCAATTTTATTTTAACGCGCCAACTGATGGAGAAATTTCAGAAATCGCCACTTAAGCTTAGCTTGCACGAAATTGTCCTCTCCTCAGTGTTTGTTTGTATTTATGCTGTTAAAAGGGGGGGCATATCCTTTTTTTAACTCTTTTTCCCTTTGGTTAACATACATCATTACACCACCTTTCCAAGACTTTTTTTCAGGTCAAGTTTTTTTGTTCTTGTGGTTTGCGCTCCTGTTGATGTTTTACGACCATGATTACTTAAACTTCATTGCCTTCGTTTTTGCTTCATTCAAACTATCGATCATCCAAGCAGCCATGAATATAGACTACGAACAGTCTCTAGCGCTTGACGGAAGGCGCAAGAGAGAAGAGGCGTGAAATATACAGGCTTTTCTTAAACCCAGTCGGCATAATTACAATAACTTCACGTCCCGAGATGAGAGCTTCTAATGCTTCACTTTGCTCTGACTTTAACGTTCCTGTTTTTTGGACTACGTGACAGACATTCCTGCCTACTTCAGTCATCATCAACTTGTCAGTGGTTTCGGTTGTTGACAGTTGTTGTCAACGCTTCATTCATAAGCAAATTGTAACTATTTTTGAGTCGTGAGAGCAACGCATAATTCTTTTTGCTCTGGCTGTAGGAAACTCTCTTCTTATTTCGGGTCCGACTACGCAGCACAACATGAATTGAAAAACCATAGGTTTATTTTGGCAGTTTAGACCAAACACCAAGAGCTATAACAATACGTTCTACTACAACTTCTGTTACATTCAAATATGTGGTCGATAAACTAGAACAGGGTTTAGAGACAGTTTAAAAAGAATACTGTAAGTACAAAAGCCAGAAAAATACCTGCCGGGAAAAAACCGAGTAGGGAAAAACCACCCAGGGAATCTGGGAAGGAGCCATGATCATGCTCTGAAAAGCCCAAGGTCTCTACCCTCGTACGTTACTTTACTTAGAATGTATCCCAACAAAGCGCGATAAACTCAAAATAATGGTAGTCGAAAACAATATACAAAAAATAAAGGAAACAAGCCAAAACCCTCGCGAAATTCAGTCTGTTACTTACTAAATTCAGTAAATAAAAAGACAATAAATAAATAATAACGCGGGCTAAACGAGGTGTCGGCTCAGATTACTTTCCCACGTGATAAGAATCCCTTTTATAGCTCTCCATTTTACCCATGCTGCACTTCAGATTCGGTCTGGCACGATGGACTCTTATACAAGCTGTTACAAATAAATGTTTATACTCAAACTCTACCTGTTAAATTAGGATTGGAAAAAGCCAAACACAACCTTTTCAATACACTAGAGGTGTGCGTCAAGGTCCTTTTCTCTTTAACCTATACGTTAACAGGTAGATACGACAATATAACACGCGGTGAATGGTTTTTTTAGTCTCTGCAATTGCAACAGAATCGAAGATGAAACTCACCTTTTATTAGATGGTCCAATTTTTTCTTCGAGAAGAGAACTGTGTCTGAACTAGAAGGCTTATTAATACCTTTTCTACGACTACATGCAATCAGATGCGACCTTATTATCACTTCTAATTAATTCTACTGACTATTTTATTAACATCCAATTAATTTCATTTATATCATCTTGTTTTGAATTGAGAGAAAAAATGGTCTCCGGGATAATTAATCCTACTAATGGCTGAAAATAAGCAATTTTTATTATATTTAAAGTTATTTTAAATAATTAATTTAAATAAGGAATCAATAATTAAATTCAAGTAGCTTTTGCATGCAATACTGTTTAGTAATACTTTGTTATAGTCATGCAAATAAAGCTTGTTGTTGTTGTTGTTGTTGTTGCCCCAGTCCCCACTGCTCCCGTGCCGCAGAAAAATTTCATTTCCGGCTTATTCGTATTCACTCAAACGTAGGAAATTCCATTTTTCTTCTCGGGCTGCCGCCCTTGTCTCTCGCGTCTCGGGTCGTCGCCGCTGAACGCTCGTTCCCGTGTACCACCCTCAATAAATCGGAAGGAAAAGAAAGAATGATCGCAGTCTACCATCAGTTCATCAAATCAATAGAACTTACAGCATCGTAGCCGCAATAGTTTCAAACACGAAGCTTTTCAGGATTCAAACCGAACAACAATAATATAATTATTATTATACATAACACTATCTATCCTCTGAATGGCTAAGAGCCTACAGTAATAGTTACCTAATTATTGTGTAACAAACTTAACCGTATCGCTTTTATATATATATATATATATATATATATATATATATAATAAATTTAGGCCAAACACCTGGTTCATCTGCCGCAACTAAACCACCCAGTGTATCAGGTAACAGCATGCTAAAAAAGCAATGAGACTGCATGGTGATACTTGAAACCACTGTCCAAAAAGTTAATGAAAAAGATCAAATTAATTTATTATCAGGTAATTGCGTATAAAAGTAAACTTAACGGCTTCAAATTATCTTTAAACCAGGTGAACATACGGCTAAACTTTGCCTGTATATTTTCGTCTGAGATATTTCATCTTCATACTTTTTGAGTAGTTCAATGAACTCGAAACTTAATGCTCTATATTAAATATAAACAAGGAAAACGTACCAGTATCATTTACTATTTTGTTTTGTTTGTTCATTTTTTTTTGTTTTCAACCATTATATTTATTCTACATGTTGTTTTGTTTCTCTGTACTCATACTGTTGGCCCTTTACAGCTTCACGAGGATTTACGATGAATGTATTTCTAGTTTTCTAAGATAATACTCGTGAGAATTTATAGCTATAGGTGTATCTTCCAGGGACGACGAACGTACCTTCCTCACCGAAACCATCAACTACACCAGGTAAAAAACCGTTTAGAATAGGATTTATAAGACTTGTCGACCTATGTAGAAACTGGGACTATCTAAGGGTGGCCGGCCAGACCATGGTTGGACCAGACATTTTGGAAATGAAATAGGCTTTTTCTAAAAGGTTTTACTGAAAAACCATCTCTTTGGTGCATAATATTTGACTGATCTGGATGGTTAGTTTTGATTAAAAGTGAAATTCTCATTAAGATGGGAATGGGGTGGCTGGTCAGTTTTGACAGATGGAAAGCGCCCTCAAAACCGGCTGTAAATCACTTTTTTCAACGAACTTTGTTTTATTATTTGGATATCAAATCAATCATAGCGTTTCGTGGTTTCATATATTAGTAATTGTATGAATTGAATTCTCGAAAATTTTGAACAAACAGTAGGTAAGAAGCAACAAATTTAAGGTTTTATGTGTAAAACTGCTAATGTATGTTCTGTTTAAGTTGTCCAGTTTTAAAAAAAACAGAATTCGAGGTTCGCGTTCTTTGAGGTTTTTAACACTATTTCGCCGCCTACAGACGTCTACCGATACCTCAGACAAATATTAGTAAAACTCTCAAAGATTGTCTAATGATAGTGATAGAGATAGAGTAGGAGCGTTGGATGTTCCCTACATTTCTAGATACTCATCTTATTACAGGTACTTAAATTAACCCCCAGTACTCGGCTTACCAATATTTTTGAGATGACACATAAGGAATATAGATTCTTGGATATAATTCACAAGAAAACAAACTATTCAGCAACTTTCTCGCAAAGACAATTAACACACCAAGTTATCAGCTGACATTGATGGAATTGCAAAGCTTCAGGAGCGTAGCGTCCATAAATGTACATACGCCCGTGCGTACAGCTGAAATCTGGAAAAACAATTTTTGTATTATTTCTTGAAAGTATTTTTATCATTAAATTGGGATGACGGTTAAACTTTTCGCATTATATCAGCGTCTTTGCTTGTAACCAGTACTTGATGGGGTCACCAAGTGTTTTACCCTTTTTCCCGTAAACACTGTACCGTGTATACCGATAACACTACAGATGGGTAACTTTTGCACTTTCCTTCGTATTTATTTATTGAAAATGTCCGGCGGAAAGCGCAGAAAATGACATTTCCTAGACCCTAGATTCAGAACTTTTCTGGGGGAGCATAACCCTGGAGCCCCCTAGATTGGAGTGCGTTCGGCACTCTAACTTTTCTTCCGTGCGCACACATTCAAAATCTCACGCTTCGCCCCCGAAATTGTATCCCTTTTTCTCTTAGGGACAACACCCGGTCCATCTGAGGCAACTAAAACACTCAGTGTATCAGGTACCAACCTGTTAAGAACTGAATGTGCGGTCTGATGTTAGAGAACACAGTTTTCTGTAACAGAAAACATTGATGGAATTACAAAACTTGTATCTTGTTCCCTCTTAGGAAAAACACCCGGTCCATCTGAGGCAACTAAAACACCCAGTGTATCAGGCACCAACATGTTAAAAACTGAATGTCGTTCTGAGATTAGACACCATATAGTTTTTTGTAAGAGAAAACACTAATGATTTCAAAAATACTTATTTTGATTAAATTAGCGAGGAGACCTGGTTCATCTTCTGCAACAAAAATGTACAAACTGCTTGTTGTTCTTTGAAAATCCTTCAACAGGTACTCTGTAGACTAAAAATTATTTATCCAGACGAGACCAAAGTAAGCTACGTCATCACTGTTAAACCCAAAACGTAATTGAGCAGCGTAATTTGTCTCCGAACGTCATGTTCAAGCTTTTTATGTAATCATTTTAACTGATTTATTGTCTTTTAACCACAAGGCAACCCGGTTTTGCTTCGTTTTTCCCAAATCAAATTTACAATTGCTGTACGAATAGTGTAGTCCGCCATGCTAGAGATTTATAACACGGTGTCTATAACTAATTGACTAACTAACTAACTAACTAATTAACTAACTTCATGTAACTACA